GTCTCGGGGGGATTTTGCGGGGTCTCGAGGGGATTTTGGGGGGGTGTCCAAGGGAGGTTCTGAGGGGCGGGGAGAGATTTGGGGGTTTGAGGAGGCCCCTGAAGGGTCTGAGGGTGATTTTGAGAGGTCTCTGAGGGGTTTTGGGGTGGTTTGGGAGGTCTGGGGGAATTTTGGGGGGTCTCTGAGGGGTTTGGGGGGGTTTGGGGAGGGTCTCTGATGGATTTGGGGGGTTTTGGGAGGGTCTGGGGGTGTTTTGGGGGGATTTTATGGGGTTTGGGAGGTCTGGGGGAATTTTTGGGGGGTCTCTGAGGGATGTTGGGGGTTTGGGGAGGGTCTGGGGGTGTTTTTGGGGGGGTCTGAAGTGGTTTGGGGGGCGTTTTTTGGGGGTTTTGGGGTGTTTTTGGGGGTATCTCAGGGGGTCCCAGCCTGCTGTTCTCCCCTCCCCCCTCAGGTGAGATTTTTGGGTTGGAGAACGTTTGAAAAAAAAGCCCAAATTTCACCCCAAAAATAAAACCTCCCCCCGCCCCCACCCCGAGTGCGATTTGGGGTCGGGAAATGAGGGAAAGGAACCCAAAAAATTCCCCCAGGAGCCTCGAGAAACGCCCAGGGAGTCGCCAAAATCCCCAGAATTCTGAGGAAATCACCCAAAAAAACACGACGGGAATTCTTCAAAAGTTTAAGGAAAAATCCTCAAAAAATTAAAAAAAATTAAGGGAAAAATCACTGAAAGTTAAAGGAAAAAAAGCCTAAAATTAAAAGAGAAAAAAGCCCAAAATGAAAGGGAAAATCCTGGAAAATTAAAGGAAACGTCCCCAAAAATGAAACAAAATCCTCAAAACTTAAAGGAAAAAGACCCCAAAATTAAAGGAAATATCCTGGAAAGTAAAAGGAAAAAACCTTCCAGAGATTTAAGGAAAAAAGCCCAAAATTAAAGGAAAAGCCCGACCAAATTAAAGAAAGAAACCTTCAAAAATTAAAGAAAAAACATAAAAAAATTAAACAAAAAAAATCTCTTAAAATTAAAGGAAAAAGCCTCCAAAATTAACGGTAAAATTCCAAAAAAAATTACAGGAAAAATCCCCCAAAATTAAATTAAAAATCTGCAAAATTGAAGGAAAACCCGCCAGAAGTTCCCTAGGAAATGCCCGAAAAATTTTCCTCAAAAAACCCCAAAATTTCCCCGAAAGTTCCCACAAAATCCTGATTAAACTTCCCAAAAAAACGACCAAGAATTCCTCAAAAGAAAAACCCCCAGAAATTCCTCAAAAAAAACCCCCGAAACGATCCCGAAATTCTGACGAAATCCCCCCAAAATTCCCGCCGAGAATTCCCCAAAATTCCTTGGTTTGGATTTTCCCGTTTTTTATTGATTTGGGGGAAAAACGCTCCCGGGAGGGGGCGGGGACAGAAGAAAAAGGCGTGGCCCCTTTAAGAAAGGGGCGTGGCCTCTGAGTAAACCACGCCCACACATAGAGAAAGGGTGGGGCCTCACCACAGTGGGCGTGGCCTGAACCACACAAAATTTAAATAAAGGGACATGGCCAGATACATTTATTTTAATGAAGGGGCGTGGCCATCTAAATTGGGTTCCTAAGGGGGCGTGGCTCATTCAAATTAGGGGCGTGGCTTCACAAAACCGCGGGTTAAGGAGGGGGCGTGGCCTAATTAAATCCCAATTAGGAGGTGTGGCTTGATTAAATTAAAGGACGTGGGTTAACTTAATTCCAATCAGGGGGCGTGGCCTCATTCAATTCCAATGGGGGCGTGGCTTAATGGAATTAAATTTTAATGAGAGGGTGTGGTTTGATTTAATTCTGATGGGTGTGGCTTGAATAAATTAATTTTAATGAGGGGCGTGGCCTGAATTGATTGCAATGAGGGGGCGTGGCTTTCCAAACATTGGGGTTTAAAGGGGCGTGGCTCCAAAGCCCCGCCTATTTTCTCCAGGAAGGGGGCGTGGTCACTGATATCCAGAAGTGGGCGTGGCCTGAGGGGTGGGCGTGTCTCAGGGGCGGTGAGGGGGCGTGGCCCGCGCGGTGGGCGGGGCCCGGCGGCGCCGCACGTGGATGACGCGCGTGTCAATCACCTCGCAGTCCACCTGCATCATGGCCTGCAGCCCCCGCAGGGAGTCTGGGGGGCCAAAAACGGCCAAAATCACCCCAAAATACACCAAAATCACCCCAAAATACCCCAAAATCACCTTAAAATAACCCAAAATCACCCCAAAATACCCAAAAAGCACCCTAAAGTACCCCAAAAACACCCAAAAATCACCCCAAAATCATCCCAAAATAACCCAAACCACCCCAAAATACCAAAACACCCTGAAATACCCAAAAATCACCCCAAAATACCCACAAATACCCCAAAATCACCCCAAAACCACCCCAAAATACCCATATTTCACCTCAAAATACCCAGAAACACCCAAAATAACCCAAAACCATCCAAAAACAACCCAAAATACCCCAAAAAATGCCAAAAATACCCCAAAATCACCCCAAAAATCACCTCAAAATACCCAGAAACACCCAAAATAACCCAAAACCATCCAAAAACAACCCAAAATACCCCAAAAAATGCCAAAAATACCCCAAAATCACCCCAAAAATCACCTCAAAATACCCAGAAACACCCAAAATGAGCCAAAACCACCCAAAATAACCCAAAATATCCTCAAAAAAACAACCCAAAATACCTCAAAAACGTCCAAATTGCCCCAAAACCATTCAAAATAACCCAAAACAACCCCAAAATGCCCCAAAAAATCCCCCCAAAAATGGGATTTTTGGGGCTTTTTTGAGGTATTTTAGGTTTGTTTTTTTTTTTAGGGGATTTTGGGGTTTTGGGGGGGATTTGGGGTTTTTTTGGAGGGGATTTTTTGGGGATTTTGAGAGTTTTTTTTGGGGAGGAATTTGGGTTTTTTTGAGGGATTTTGGTTTTTTTTTCTTTAGGGGATTTTGGGGTTTTTGGGGGGATTTTGGGGGAGATTTTGGGTTTTTTTTGGGGGGGATTTGGGTATTTTGGGAGGTTTCTTTGGGAAGTTTTTGGGGAGATTTGGGTTTTTTTGGGGGGGATTTTTGGGAAGATTTGGGGGGATTTTGGGGAGATTTTTAGGGGATTTTTTTGGGGGAATTTGGGGGAGATTTGGAGTTTTTTTGGGGCGTTTTGGGGGGATTTTTGGGAGATTTAGGGGGGCGGGTTGGGGCTTTTTTGAGGTGTTTTTAGGTAGATTTTGGGTGGTTTTGGGGTGTTTTCAGGTAGATTTTGGGGGTTTTCAGGTAGATTTTGGGGGTTTTCAGGTAGATTTTGGGTGTTTTGGGGTAGATTTTGGGATTTTTGAGTAGATTTTGGGTATTTTTGGGTAGACTGGGTTTTTTGGGGGTTTTTGGATAGGTTCTGGGTGTTTTCAGGTAGATTTTGGGTGTTTTTGGGGTGATTTTGGGGTTTTGGGAGTTTTGGGTGTTTTTCGAGTGTTTTTGGGGTGATTTTGGGTGGTTTTGGGTAGATTTGGAGGTTTTTTTGGGAGTTTTGGGTGTTTTGGGGTGTTTTCGGGGTGATTTTGGGTGGTTTTGGGTAGATTTGGAGGTTTTTTTGGGAGTTTTGGGTGTTTTGGGGTGTTTTCGGGGTGATTTTGGGTGGTTTTGGGTAGATTTGGAGGTTTTTTTGGGAGTTTTGGGTGTTTTGGGGTGTTTTCGGGGTGATTTTGGGTGGTTTTGGGTAGATTTGGAGGTTTTTTTGGGAGTTTTGGGTGTTTTGGGGTGTTTTCGGGGTGATTTTGGGTGGTTTTGGGTAGATTTGGAGGTTTTTTTGGGAGTTTTGGGTGTTTTGGGGTGTTTTCGGGGTGATTTTGGGTGGTTTTGGGGTGATTTCGGGTGTTTTTGGGGTGATTTCGGGTGTTTTTGGGGTCCCTCTCACCGTTGAGCGCCGCCGCCGGCATCACCAGGGACATTTTGGGTCGCGAGGTTTTGTTGTGGCTCCGGGCAGGGAGCAGGAGATGATCCTGGAGCCAAAAAAAATCCCAAATTATCCCCAAAATCCTCCCCAAAATCTGCTCAGGGATGTCCCAAATCAGCCCTAAAAAATCCCCCCCCAAATTCCTTTAAAATCATCCAAAAAAGATAAAAATATCTGTTTAAAAAATCACCAAAATCCTCCCTAAATCCATGAAAATCTCCCCAAAAATTCCCTAAAAATCCCTTTAAAAAATCCTAAAAATATCCCCAAAAATCTGCAAAAAATCCCCTAAAAAGCAACCAAAAATCCCTCGAAATATCCCCAAAAATATCCCCAAAAATCCCTAAAATATCCCCAACACTTCCCCCAAAAATCTCAAAAAAAATCCTCCCCAAAACCCCTAAATATACCCCCAAAAAAACCCCCAAAATCCTCCTAAAAATTCCCAAAAACATCCCTTCCTAAACCTCAAAAAAATCCCAAAAAATAAAAAAAAAATCGCTAAAGAACACAAAAAAAATCCCCCCAAAAAAGCTGCAAAAAAATCCCCCAAAAATTCCCAAAAATACCCATAAAAATCTGTTTAAATATCCCAAAAAATCCCTAAAAAAGCCAAAAAAATTCCACAAAAATCCCCCTAAAAACTCCTCCAAAAATCAAAAAAAACTCCCCAAAAATTCTGCTAAAAATCTCAAATTTTTAAAAAAAATCTCAAAAAAATCCCAAACAAAATCCCTAAAAAAATCTCAAAAAATCCCCAAAAAATCCAAAAAAATCCCAAAAAACCCCTAAAAAAAAATCCCTAAAAATCCCTAAAAATTCCCAAAAAATCCCTGAAAAAATCCCAAAATATCCCAAAAAACCTCAAAAAAATCCCCCAAAAAACCCAAAAATCCTCCAAAAAACCCCAAAAAATCCCCCCAAAAATCTCAAAAAAAATTCCAAATATTCCTTAAAAAAAATCTAAAAAATCCCAAAATATCCCCCCAAAAAAATCCTAAAAAAAAGCCCCAAAAATCCTTCAAAAATCCCTAAAAAAACCCAAAAAATCCTTAAAAAAATCCCCCCAAAATCCCTAAACCCCCCCCAAAAATCCAAAAAAAAATCCCAAAAAATTCCCAAAAACTCCCCGAGAGCTCCCAAATCCCCTCCCCCGAATTCCCGAATTCCCGAATTCCCGAATTCCCGGAATTCCCGGAATTCCCGCCTACCCTTCGGAAGGAGACCACGTAGAAAGTGTCGTCCCTGCGGTCGATGGCGGCCAAAATTCGGGGTTCGGGGGGGTCGGGGCCTCGGTAGAGCTGGAGCTGCCCCGGGGGGGCCCTGGGGGGAGAATTGGGGGAATTTTGGGGGATTTTTTGGGATTTTTTGGGATTTTTTTTGAGATTTATTGGAGATTTTTGTGGGGAATTTTTTGGGGATTTTTGGGGATTTATTGGGATTTTTTTGGAATTTTTTTAGGATTTATTGGGGAATTTTGGGGATTTTTTTTTGGGGATTGATTGGAGATTTTTTGGGGATTTTTTTTGTGATTTATTGGGATTTTTTTGGAATTTTTTTAGGATTTATTGGGGAATTTTGGGGATTTTTTTTTGGGGATTGATTGGAGATTTTTTGGGGATTTTTTTTGTGATTTATTGGGATTTTTTTGGAATTTTTTTAGGATTTATTGGGGAATTTTGGGGATTTTTTTTTGGGGATTGATTGGAGATTTTTTGGGGATTTTTTTTGTGATTTATTGGGATTTTTTTGGAATTTTTTTAGGATTTATTGGGGAATTTTGGGGATTTTTTTTTGGGGATTGATTGGAGATTTTTTGGGGATTTTTTTTGTGATTTATTGGGATTTTTTTGGAATTTTTTTAGGATTTATTGGGGAATTTTGGGGATTTTTTTTTGGGGATTGATTGGAGATTTTTTGGGGATTTTTTTTGTGATTTATTGGGATTTTTTTGGAATTTTTTTAGGATTTATTGGGGAATTTTGGGGATTTTTTTTTGGGGATTGATTGGAGATTTTTTGGGGATTTTTTTTGTGATTTATTGGGATTTTTTTGGAATTTTTTTAGGATTTATTGGGGAATTTTGGGGATTTTTTTTTGGGGATTGATTGGAGATTTTTTGGGGATTTTTTTTGTGATTTATTGGGATTTTTTTGGAATTTTTTTAGGATTTATTGGGGAATTTTGGGGATTTTTTTTTGGGGATTGATTGGAGATTTTTTGGGGATTTTTTTTGTGATTTATTGGGATTTTTTTGGAATTTTTTTAGGATTTATTGGGGAATTTTGGGGATTTTTTTTTGGGGATTGATTGGAGATTTTTTGGGGATTTTTTTTGTGATTTATTGGGATTTTTTTGGAATTTTTTTAGGATTTATTGGGGAATTTTGGGGATTTTTTTTTGGGGATTGATTGGAGATTTTTTGGGGATTTTTTTTGTGATTTATTGGGATTTTTTTGGAATTTTTTTAGGATTTATTGGGGAATTTTGGGGATTTTTTTTTGGGGATTGATTGGAGATTTTTTGGGGATTTTTTTTGTGATTTATTGGGATTTTTTTGGAATTTTTTTAGGATTTATTGGGGAATTTTGGGGATTTTTTTTTGGGGATTGATTGGAGATTTTTTGGGGATTTTTTTTGTGATTTATTGGGATTTTTTTGGAATTTTTTTAGGATTTATTGGGGAATTTTGGGGATTTTTTTTTGGGGATTGATTGGAGATTTTTTGGGGATTTTTTTTGTGATTTATTGGGATTTTTTTGGAATTTTTTTAGGATTTATTGGGGAATTTTGGGGATTTTTTTTTGGGGATTGATTGGAGATTTTTTGGGGATTTTTTTTGTGATTTATTGGGATTTTTTTGGAATTTTTTTAGGATTTATTGGGGAATTTTGGGGATTTTTTTTTGGGGATTGATTGGAGATTTTTTGGGGATTTTTTTTGTGATTTATTGGGATTTTTTTGGAATTTTTTTAGGATTTATTGGGGAATTTTGGGGATTTTTTTTTGGGGATTGATTGGAGATTTTTTGGGGATTTTTTTTGTGATTTATTGGGATTTTTTTGGAATTTTTTTAGGAATTATTGGGGATTTTTGGGGATTTTTTGGGGGATTTATTGGAGATTTTTTGGGATTTTTTTTGAATTTATTGGGATTTTTGGGGATTTTTTTTTTTTGCCTTGAGAATTTTTTGGTGTTTATTCGCAATTTTTTGTGGGGTTGGGATTTTTTGGGGTTTTTTTTTAATTTTGGGGGGATTTTTTTGAATTTATTTGGAATTTTTTTGTGTTTTTTGGGATTTATTGGGAATTTCGGGGGTTTTTTGGGGATTGGGATTTTTTGGGATTTTTTTGGGGTTTTTTTTAATTTTTTAGGAATTTTTGGGGGATTTTTGGGTTTTTTCGGGATTTATTTGGTATTTATTGGCAATTTTTTGGGGATTGGGATTTTTTTGGATTTTGGAGATTTTTGGGGGGATTTTTTTTGATTTTTGGGATTTATTGAGGATTTTTTGTGACTTTTTGGAATTTATTTGGGATTTTTGGGATTTATTTGGGATTTTTAGAGAATTTTTGGGTTTTTTAGGGAATATTTGGGGATTTTGGGGGGGACTTTGGGGGGATTTGGGGATTTTGTGAAGTTTAGGGGGAAATTTGAGAGAATTTTTGGTGATTTTGGGGTTTTTGAGATTTTTTTTGGATTTTGGGGGAATTTGGGAGATTTTTGGGGAGATTTTTTTGGATTTTGGGGGAATTTGGGAGATTTTTGGGGAGATTTTTTGGGATTTTGGGTGGTTTTGGGGGGGGGATTTGGGGCTGGGGGATTTTGGGGCAGAATTTGGGGATTTTTTTGGGGGGGTTTCCCCAATTTTGGGGGTCTCACCTCTCAGTCCGGGGGGGCTCAGCCGGGACCAGCCCCTTCCAGGGGGACGCGCCCTGAAACTGCCCAAAAATGGGTCAAAAACCCCAAAAATGGGTCAAAAAC